CGTACTATATCTCCCTCCATGTGTGTTTGGATTGCATGCCGTCGGCATGGGAACGGGAGCCAGCAGGGGGAAAAAAGGAGACGCGCCGGTGGAGGCCACAACCCCGGCGACCACAAAAATACGTGCAGCACAGGCTCAAAAACAAAAACGAAAACAAATAAAAAAATAAACCCATGTACATAAACCGCACACAAAAATACAAATAACTCGTCTTCAATAAAAAAGCGCATACCATGCCCACTTGTCACGTTTCCCCTCATGCACCTTGCTCTATATAGCTTGCCGCAGCACTCAGCGTAGTTTGGTTACCTCAAACATAACTCTTCATTTTAAAAAACAAAAAAAAATTTTTTTTGGCGTCTTCCTCTTTCCAACACCTTAACCACGGTACATAAACAGAAAACCACTCAAATGAAGTGATCGAGAGAAGCACCGCGTCTCATTTTGTCATTCTGTTGTTTCCAGTTCCTCTCCTCATTTTTCTTCCCCACCCCCACATCTCTTCTTCGCAGCCCTGACGTTTTCCATGCGTCCCCCTTTTCTTAATTTTATATATCTTTCTTGTTACCTTCGTCTCCCACCCCCTTGTTGTGTTTCACAGCAGAGATCTCTTTCCTCTCTCAATTACTATTATATCCACATTGTCGAATTCCTTCGACAAATATTTTTGTCTTTATCAGGAGTGCCAGGTCTCTGGAGGAATAACAACGCTACCGCCCTCGCACCTCCGCCGCGGAACGTTTTCCTCCGACACACGCAGGCACGCCGCGTTTTTTTTTTTTTTAGCGATGCGCTGCACCTCAGCTGAACGAGTGTACCGTCATAGCAAGGGCAGTCACATTAGTCTCCCGCTTTCTTCTCCCACCACGCATGTTGGGCACTGCCGTTGTCGCGGCTGACAGAGAAATCAAACGCAGGATATGACTACCATCTGCCAGACCCCATCACCAGGCACACACCCCGAATATTTTCTACTCCCTCTTTTCTGACTCCACTTACTCTTATTTTCCCTTTTTACATTTCCACCTCATTCTCCTACGCCGTTTTTTTTCTTTTTTCTCCTCCATCACACCATCGCGTGTCGCTTCTCGATCTGAAGCGACCACACTCATACACACACAAAAAAAAAAAAAGAACGAACATCCACAAAATGCGGGATACGTAGGCAACAGCCGGAGAGGCACCCACCCACATCAATGGGCGCAAAGATGTCCGCACATAGGCATCAGAGAAGACTTCATCCGAAGGAAAAACAACCACATTAAGAGGAACAAAGAAATACTCTCCCACGTTCACACCAGGAATAATGTTGATAGATATACATCATACGTCCAGTATACAAAGTTACGTACGGGCAGAAGACAGGGTAACGTAAGAGGAAAGGAAAAAACAAAAACAAAAATTCATACGACAATTCTTCACTCCTCTGTCACTGACGTCTTTTGGCATGCTCACGTAACACTTCTCCGCTTCTCGCGTTCAATGATAACGCGTGGCTGCGATATTGCTTTTATGCCTTCAAAAAAAAATGAATAACCATATCAACAAATCCGAAACAAAAAACAATGATGATAATATCAAAAATAAAAATAAGGGGTAAAAATAAAGACGTAACCGTAAATAAGTCACTGGAGGTGAACTTATCTATACTCCTCCCTCTTCACTGATAGAGTCAGAACCACTACAGCCAGAGTACTGGCGAATTCAATAAGGAAAATGAGTGTGGAATCCCTTCAGCCAAGAATGGAAAAGTAATAAATACGTCAAAAAGGGCAATATACGCAAATACGCAACCCCTCTTTGCCCCCATTTTATTTCACTTTTTTTTTTTTTTTTACAGTGCCTGACACATGCTTCTGCCCTGTGCCGGAGCAGTCATGTAGAAAAAAAAAAAAAACCGTGATAGGTTCATTACGCGGCAAAAAGTTCCGGCACCCCCAACAAAGACAAAACAAATAACAGTCAGGGCAATCAATCGCTCATTTTACGGCAAAGGGATAAATAAAATCGGCCCTCTACAACAAAATAACAAAATAAAACCAAAACCAACAAAACACTAAGCAGGAGCATAAATCTTCCACCCCAATCAAACCAAAAACAAAATGGAGATGCAAAAACAAAAGCGAAAATAGTGCCGCCCTCAACAATTGCCAAGTAAGAAAGAAGTAAAACAGATAAAAAATACAAGAGAAGCAAAACAGCCCCTTCCACCACAAACAGCATCCTTTCCTCCTGCTTCTTCTCAATTACTCTCGTTTTTATCCTGTTTACTTCATTCATGTCGTTTCCTTTTTTTTTCTTTTTTTTTTTGTTTTGACCCGCTCTTCTCCCAATTCCTTCCATGTATTTGATAACGAAAAACTAAAAGAATACGGGATACAAATCCAACGCGCCTTTCATTCCAACGCTCTTAGCATGTATACGCATATATATATATATATATATGTATGCATTGCTGTTGCAACTCCTATACATTGTCGAACGCGGCAAGCGTCATACCTCTTTTCCTCCCAACTGGGGACAAACAAAATGTTTATTGATGGATAAAAAATATGAACCTGATACCTACTCTCCCACCCCCTTCCCCCTCCTTTTTATTTTTTTTTGGACTTTTCCTCCGTCCATATTTTTTTTGCTGCTCTGTGTCCCCATGTTCGATTCCAAGATTATTATTATTTTTCTTTTCTGTTTCTTCTGGGGGCCTGTCGTTCTTCCACGCTTTTCCTGTCAATGAAAGCAAACGACAAACGGTGCCTCGCGGCAACCTCTGGGACAAATGTTTATGCTTTTACTGCATCAGACAAGATTTTGGCATCGGGTGGGGGCACTGGCTATCTCCCTCGCACTCCGCACTTTTTTGTGTCTCCTCCGCAGCAACAAACACGCACACACGCTTTCAACTCCACGTCTTCTGTTTGCCTGTTTATACCAGCATATTGGCAACTCCCCCTGAGCTTATCTCTGGGGTTTCTGTTCTCGCCGTGTGGGCGTGAACGGGCACGCAAGTCACCAGAGGTGTGGAGCTGAGTGCCAATCCCCCCCTCCCTCCCTCCCTCCCCCCAAAGATGCCCAACCACTCACACGCACGATGAAAAAAATAAAATAAAAATAATAAATCATCATGGGAAACCAAAATAAAAATAAAAATAAAAATAAAAATAAAATAAAAAACAATCAACTCAAAAAAGACTTTTTTTGTTTTTTGGCCTCCTTTTTTTTCGTGCCTCAGTTTCTGTAGAGAATGCACGCATGGATAGCCCCTCTCCTCCGCTGTTATATAATATATATATATTTGTATCTTTTTCGGTTCTCTGATTCATCGTTATCGTCTTTTCCCCACGATTTTTGGTTGTTTACACAACAGCCGACATTGTTATCCTTTCCATGGTGCCCAGCTTATTTCCTCGCCTCCTTACCCACGTCACTTAAACATTGGTGACGGGGCTTTCGCTGAGCGTGTGCAGAAAACGACACTTTCTTCGGTTACAGCAACTGTTTATAAAGTGTCGGCACACCACGTTTACATTCACTTTATTGCCGGGCCCACGGGTTTGCATGGCGTCAGAATTTCTTGCCAGACCTGAAGGATTCAGACTGTGAGCGTGCATGGATGATGAAGAAGCGATGCTCGAACCCTCCATTGGAAACAGATGATGTTGGTAAAGGGGGGCTTGCCGGTTCTGTTGCTCTGGTAGGGCGGTCTGAGTATACGGCTGCGGCACTGCGACAGTCGTTAACATGTAAACAAGGGGACACGTAGACGTCTGTGGCTGCTGCGATTGCTGCAGTTGCGGGATAAACACTGACTGCATCGGTGACATTGGCGGCCCATCGGGACCTTTTGAAGAAATAAATTGACCTGTGCCAGCTTCAGGACCTCCCCCCATCGGCGTTGCGCCGTACATACTGTTTGGCGTCCACATCACTGCAGCTGGGGGAAGAGGTGCTGCAATTACTGAATTTGGTTGGGAAACAGTAAACAACGGTGTCTGGTGCGGTGTCACTGCTCCTTCCGACGCGCAACTTTGAACGTCATTAAGAGAAATCATGGAAGGTGTCGGATTCAGTTGGGAAAAGCTCTGAGTGAACACCGGGGCAGGGCTCGGCAATCGGAAGCTTCGGCTCGGTGGATCAATGAAGAACATCCCGTCCCGTTCACTCTCCCACAGTTCAACCGTGTTATTCCTCCTCTCCTCGTGTTTCAACTCTCACAGACTCGTATGGACAACAAATGTGCCTGCGGATGGAGTTTTTCTAACTTATTATTGCTGTTGCTTCTTTAACCTCTGCACGTGTAGGAGGAAGAGAAAGAGAGTGATTATCAATAACACTGCAAAGATAGAAAGAGGGCACTGTGCTTTCTCCAAGGAAGAGGCACAGACACAACTACGGCAAGGCGATCACACGTGCAGTGAAGGATATGAAAGCCAAAGAGAAAGGAAAAGAAAAAAAAAAGGATACATGCACAGCCGCCAACGAGCCATGCCACCGGCGCAACCGACGACGTCACAGCAAACGGAACCACCTCGCCCCGTACACACCTCACTCCCCCAGCCCCAAACTTCCCTCACAAAGGGGCACGCTCGCCAAACAGATGCAAGGGAGGCTCTGGAAGCGTTATCCCTCAAATAAGTAAAAGAAAACAAATAGTCTCTCTCTGTGTGTGTGGGGTGGGGGGGGGGGGGGGAGTGCGCCGCCCTGTCACAAGTTGTATTCTGCCTGTTTATTATTCAGTCGCACAGGTGCCGCAAAATGTTTTTCTGAAGAAAAAGAACCCCCCACCCCCACCCCCAGAGGCTCACCAAAAAAAAGAGAACTAAAAAAAGTCAAGGGAGACTGCTACACACAGACACACACATTACACAAACACACGAAGAAGAAGACGTACCTGCACACAAAAACAAAAACAACAGAGAGTTATTTATCGCAAGAGATCACAAGATACTGCTTGGCACCACTGTCTCGGCGAGAGCGCAAAAGAAGTTCTACCTGCACACGTTCCACTCTATCCAACTCCCCCATCTTCACCATATGGGCGAGTACCTTACTTGACTGCCCCAAAAGGGCAGTCAGTATACGCCCATTGCGTTGCCACAAGTCGAGGGACTCCCCCTGCAGCCTGTCACCTCCCACCGACTCCATCACTTCGTAAAGGGTTTGCAAGAGATTAAGCAAAAGCGCCACTTGACTCTCCGAAAGTTGCCTCTTACCCTCCCGCAACAAGAGGGAGTGAAAGGCCCCATAATACGCTCGCGCAGCTATTTCGTTAATGAATTTGGTGAACAGCCCCTCGTCAAGGTTATTTTTGGCTGTACTAAGCTGCTGCCCGAGGTAGCTCTCAAGGCAATCCGCAGCTTGCTTCATGACTGAAGGGGGCACGGGAAACTTTCCCAGCATCTCAGCGCCAATGAGATCGGACAGAAAACTCAACACAGACCGTTCCAAGGTATGTATAATGTGCCGCTCAAATTCCTCCCCAGTTTCCATAGTTGACGCGCGTGTTTGCTCAGCAATCACCCTTCGCTGATGCTCGATTACGCGCTCCGGATCACCCAGTAGAGGAATGAGTTGTTGCATGACGTCTCTTTCTCCAAACTCCTGCAACATCCTCTGGTAGCGCTGCAAATTGCTTAGACAAACCAGCCACTCATCCAACTTGGGCGTGGTGCGACCGCGTGCAACCATAGCGTCAACAAACGCTTCTCCCATTGCTTGTAGAAGCGTAAAAAAATGTATTGCGTACATTTCATGTTGGCAAGGATCTGTCCAAGCGAGCATACGCACAAAAACAGCGAGTAGAGCCTGAAGTAGATCTTGAAGAAGCCCAGGGGAGTGGTTGAAATGCACTGCATTTGGCACAAGCGGCTTAAGTGTCTCACTCGTCACAATACTTGTCATCCACGTGGAGATGTGTCCCTCACACAGGGGAAACCAGAACGAGATAAAATCGGTAAAGCAACCAGCCAAGTCACGACATATGGAAGCTGTTCCAGGCTCATTGTCGAGGATATCCACAAGACTCATCACTGAGCCGTATGTGGAGACAAGAAGTCCAAGCGTCTCACCAAGCGGGTCTGGCTCGGGTGTGCGAACAAGACAGGCCAAGATACGTGTCACAACATTTCGGAGTGGGACACAGATGGCTTCTGTGAGGCTTTTGAGACGGCAAATGGCAATGGCCATGATGGAGGGAGACCCAGACATCTTTGCAAAGGAAAAAGCTCGCTTGCTTCGTTCAGTTACCTGTGTCATCAACTCAAGCAAGTAATGTGATTTACCCCTTAGTCGTGCTCCATCTTTTTGGCGCTCAAGCTCCGGCAGAGAGAGATCCGTTATGGTTTCCCGTACCACTTCACGGCGATGCTCGCGCAGCACACGACCATCTAACCGTTCTAAGGCCTCCATCAGAGGCCTGACCTCTCGTTGCGCTTCCTGCAAAATGGCATCGTTAACGTTCATATTCTGATCAAAGAGAAGCAAAAGCTTCTTCATCTCCTCCAGCACTTTTTCCAACTCCCGTGGGTTCAACGGCAAAAAAGATGTTAATGAAGTCGAGCGGACGTCTTCTAACGACAAAATAATGTCAAATATACAAGACTGGGTTGCCTCAAGAGCCTCCTTTACTAGACGCTTTGTCACGTGCGTCATTGCCGTGCCGCGGAGGTTAAGTAGCGAGGCCAACGCACAAGTGCAACGCTCCCAAGAAGTTTCGTCCGCCAGGTTGCAGCGCGTGCAAACGGAGATTAAGACAGCAACAGTTTCAAGTTCCCCGTGAATCAAGTAGCGGCGACAGTATGCCTTAATAATTGCACCTCCCATATCGTCAATGTCACCTAAAATGTCAACCAGACGTAAGAATGAATTGTGATGGTCTGTACTCCATGCATCTTGGGTGGTTGCAACCACATCCATATTTGGTCGAGTTTGACCTCCTTCTCCCTCTAAATTAATTGCCGGGGGCCGTGTATTGTGTTCTCTATTAAGACAATACATACTACACAGGGTCTTTGCACTTTCGATAGTGTATGGATGAACATTTTTGGTGGCGGTGGTGGCTGGTGAAAGCAAGACGGAAGAGAAGTGATAGCCCTTGATTCCTACATTTGGAGTAGTTATGGGCTCATTTCTAACACTGCCTTTTCCGTAGGACGCCTCAGGGAAAGGGCAAGTGTCAGAGCGTCGCAGTGGGGAGTTTGGTTGTGCCACACTCACATACAGGGCGTCATCGACAGTGATGGTGGCAGAGGCCACGATTTTCTCTTTTGGGGCAGTGCAAAAGCAGGATAACTGGGGCACGAAGAGCTCGAGAAGAATGATATAATCTTTGAAGTGCTCACTGGCACCCCTCGGCACCATCAACGTAACACGACTATCTGATTGCCACGTGTAGATGCCATCTTTCAAGGCACTTTTTCCCGGCACCACCTCTGAAGCTACACGCCAACTTTTCTGTTGAAGACTCCAAATTGCCTTTAAATGTTGTGGTAAACCCTTCATTGTCCTACTCCCATTTTTAGTACATTTCTCCTCCTCCGTATCACGGAGTTGTACTCGCATAAGAGATAGTGTGATGCACCCACCAAAGCATTCCCCACGCTGCGCTCCATGAATATCATTCCAAACTCTTTTGGAATGTCGCTCATTTATTTCTTTCCCACTCAACTCTGTGTCCAGCATGTTAAGTCGTCGACGCACTTCCTCGAGGCAGTGCTTCTGAAATGCCTCGTAGTCCGGACGACGGATAAAATTCTCTTCTCTCCTGTATGAGTCCTTACCATTCCATGTCTTGTCAGACGTAAAGGCTTCATAAAGGTACTGCAGCTCTTGCGCAACGCCAGCGTCGGAGACACGGCGGAGGACGTCCTTCGCGAAAAGCCCCACCACACCCGGATTGAGAGACTGATCAAGAAATTTTTTAATCAGCACCGCAAGCATCCCCTTTCGCACCTCCGTCCCACATTCCACTGGATCCCAGGGTGTGCGTTGTGTTACTGCCTTTACTACATCTGCCAACAGAGACATCAAACTCTCTTGAGCAGACTCTGTGTCAATGTTCCGGTTGTCCCCAGTCCAAGAGGACACGGTGTGACGTGCGGTTTCTGCAAGCAGCGGGTTGGTGTTTTGCCCCGGTGCCCTCACTATAAAAGACGGCTGCGATGCGGATGTCGAGCGCCTCGAGCCGTCTCGCTCCTCCAAGAACAGCTCCATCATATGTTCTTCAGGAACCTCAACAGATTCCAGCCATGAGGAACCCGCCATCCATGAGGGCATGTATGACCGCCGGGCAAACTGTGTCCTCCTCTTCCCCTCCGCCTGCGCCGTTACAAATGCAGAACCTTGCGGTTCCATCGGGCATACGTGGCTGTGCTGCACACGTTAATCTCTACCCACAACAGAAAGCAACACACAAATCGATCAATAACGCCGTGCTCACCCTAATCCCTTCAACAATCCAAAAAAAAAAAAAGAGAGACTTGTGCTGCCCTCCAACGCGGTATTTGTGGCAAACAAAAAAATATGTAATCCGTGAAAAAGCGGCAAAGTTAACCAAGACGTGTTATCACCTACATGGACTCCTTGAATTGCTCACTTTTTGAAAACCGTTCCGGAAAAAAAAAAACAGTGTAAGAAGAATAAGGTGGCGCAACCTTGTTGCCCGCCTTTATGAGGTGCGTTCTTTTTTGTTTTTGTTGGAACGCGAGGGTTGACTGGGTATATTCTTCTCATGTACCCATATGTACAACGCACTTGAAGGCAAAGCGATGCCTGCCATATCACGTCAACTGTTTTTGCTGAAGTATAAGTTGTTTACTTTGCACCAACTGACGATGCAACTGCTGCGCCAACAAGTTTTGACGTCGCACGTACATGAGCAGTTCGTGAAGCTCCTCATTCATCTTACACGCTATGGCCTCAACCTTTCCATCTCGGAAGCTCCACTGATTGTTGCTAACCTGCGGCACCTCAGGGTGACGCTCGTCATGTTCCCGTCGGAGCTTGCGGGCATGCGCGCTTAGCTTTGAAGCAAGCCGCATAGCCAATGCATCTTCATCTATGAATATCTGACGCCCTTTGAGCTGAGCGGCGGATGAGACGTAGTCACTGCGATCACTACCACTGTCACTGCCAAGGCCACTACTGCAGCTCTGAAGTGTATCATTCATCCCGTGCGTCATCGCCTCTTCCTTCCCACTGCTGAGCATGCGCATGTAGAAACAGTGTGAAAACTCTCCACCATCTTCGACGCTGCTTCCCTCCCCCAGGGGCTCAGCCTCCGTTGATGCTGCTTCAATCCCTTTTCCTGTGCCAGTGGATGTAAAAAGGTCCCGCACTTGCTCACACCAAATCGAGTACTGCTCTGCATCGCTTAGCGCGCTGCCGGACGGGTTCATGTGCCAGCGCTTTTCTTTTTTTGCGTCGCGAAGAGAAGCTGCACGCACTAAAAAACTAGAAATAAAAACAATAAGTAAGAATAAACAAATACTGGGAATCCGAAAAAAAAAAAAAAGGAGGAGGAGTAAAAGAAAAGGAGTGCTTACACAATAGAAACAAAAAACAAACAAACCAACCAACACAACAACCCCACAACAACAACCATGCGCAGAAGAGAAAAAAAAAGAAAATAAATCGCCCGGAATAAAGAAAGCGAAACGGGCTGCGCGTGACATCATGCACCCTTTCAGAGGCAACATCAAGGGAACCTACAAGAAGGAATACCCTAGCAACTACTACAGCACGACAAGTAAATACAGACAGCATTCTCTCTCTCTCTCGCTTTCATTCTATCGTCATGCATTCCTTAGAGCAAACAACTGCTCCACAAATTTATTGCAGATCTGTCATTGTCTTTGCTTCTTTTTCCCCACTCGGTTCCACCCCGGAAACCAAATTAGAAAAAAAAAAAAGGACGCCTACATTTTTTTCTTTTTCTTTGTTTGACAGGTATTTGATTCCTATTCTTATCTTTTCCATTGCAATTCCACTCCTCCTCGTCGATCCTGTCGTGTAACTGGAAACACGGTACTGTCCCCCCCCCCCCCGTCAGCGGTGTTGGGAAGACGTAGATGAAGAAAGGACGCTAGTGAACACGTCAACGGTGAAAAAAGGAGAAAAAGAATCATGAGCAATACCGGCGTACTGGTCCATATCGCGCCTGTGCTGCATCTCCGCATCTTCCCCTCAAACGCACATACACAAGCATCGACGCAAACCACACTTATATGCCTCCTTGTTATTTTTATTTTTCCGCTCAATTCGATTCCCTTCTTCAGTTCATACCATTATCCCCTATCCTTATTTCTCCCCTTACTAGAGGATCGCTTCACATTTCAAACTTGCGTTCTCACCTTCGTTCCATACCCCTTTGTTTTTTCGTTTCGTTACTTTTCTATTCACGTGAGTGCTCTCCTCCCCCCCTCGCCATTGCAGCCCCTTTCCCCGGGGTGGAGTGTCTTTCTCGTTGCATCCCTCCCCTTGTTCTCCTCTGCCGCGGTTCCTCATAAAGACCCTTTCTTCATCTTATTACGGCAGCGGTGTGGGTGGACGTCCGTACAGATACCCACACGACCGTTCCTTATATATATATATACACTTATTCGTGCCCGGGGAAATGGTAGAGATGGTGACGAAGGTGGGACTGCATCCACCAAAACGAGGAATCCCCAAATGTATTTGCCTTACTGGCATACATAGTCATTGATCCACAAATATCGGGGTAGGGGGGGAGGCATAATCACATTTCCCCCATACGGCTCATTTATTCTTTTACTCTGAAGAAGACCACAAGAAATAAGCGAGATCATAACTTCTTCTTCGTCCACTCTTTCAACACCCTCTTTTTTTTTTGTTTCATTCTCGTTCCTTTAAGATGATTATGAATAAATAAATAACACATATGTATATATATATACTTGTTGCTTCATCCTGCCTCCATGCCTCTCATCACCATTGCCCGCATCCCCTTTTTTTTCTTTTTTTCCCGGACGAATGATGAAAACAAAGCAAAACAAAACCCAGGGAAAAGGAAAAAAAAGCAAAATCTATTGCTTGCCTCATGTAAACAAAAGAAAAAACACCCCTAGTGAAAACAAATAAAGCAAGTAAGTAAAAACCACACTACTTATTGCCTGTGCCACCGCTGGTGCCAAGACCGAGGGTGCTCTTGTAGGTGTCATAGATCCACCACTGCAAGCCGGTAAGGGTGCCAATCATGAGAATACGCGCCATAAGGCCCTTGGTGCAGAGGTTAAGATAACCCATCTCGGCGGCAATCTGGCCGTATCCCTTGCCTGCATTTGTCGCCTTACCACGAGCAGAGACAAGGGAATCGGCAGGGTGCGAGACGATAGCGCACACAATACCTGCGATGTAGCCCGATGCAAAAGTAATACTGAGCTGCGTTCCCTTACTGTACTCATTCTTTGGCTTTGTAAACACATACGTGTAAAACATCCGCACCACTTTTTCAAAAAAGTAGAACTTTGCCATTGTGTACGGGATTTGACGGGACCAAAGCGGCACAAGTGACTTGAACGGGAAACCAGAATTAGGGTCAGCACGCATAGCTGCAACAGCGGCGCCAAAGGCAGTGGGAAACGTGCCACTGGGAGAGGTCTGAACCTTCACCTTCACCATCTCCATCGGACACAGGCCCATATCAGCAAAGAACTCAGCCGTTGCTGAACCTGCAAGCCAAATGAGACCTTCATACTGCTTTGCCGCCTGCTCACCAGCGAGATTAGCATAGAAATCCTTAAACACCTCATACAGGCCAAATTTAAATGCACCCTGCACCGAGTAACCAAGTAAGGTCGGCAACCACCCCTTCCAAATTCCTTTTGCACCGCAGCCGTCCTCAGCAAGGACTACCTTGAAGCCAGAAGAGATGCCCTTAAACTTTTCGGGACTCACTTGCATGTTACACTTTACAACATCAAGTGGGCACACCAATGTGTGCGTCACCCCACAAGAGATGACGCCACCACCCAAACATTTGAGATAGTACGAATTCGTGTGGGGAATGTCCGGATTCACATAGCGTGCATCCCAAGGTTTCTTGCTATTCATCATAGCTTCCAACTCGTTTCCTTCGCTTGTTTTATGCGTAATGCTGGTGGGCTGCTTAGATTCCCGTTACTTACCAATCCAAAACAAACATGAAAAAACAAAAAAAAAACAATCAAAAGTGTAACCTGGAGATGGACCTGAGGTCACCCATCAGCAACAACACAAACGAGTAAAAATCACATGAAGGCAATGATGAGCAAGAGGAACAGAAATCCGGTATTGACAAACTGCACACATTATCTGGTCCACGAATAAACCAAAGCAAAAACCAAAAGAGCACACAAGACAATAATAAATAAAGAAAGAGACTAAAAACATGGCGAGACCAGTCTTACACTCTTTCTCATTCCTACTGGGGATTAGGAGGTGATAAGTGGCAAAATTGTTTCATTAAATTTGCAAAACAACCCCACTTTCACCCCCCAACGAACTCTTCTAAAGTATTTTATTTACTCTTAAACGCCATTCTTATCATTTATTCACTTTCCATGCATTTTCCCTTCTTTAAGAATAACAGCACACACCCACACACACACACAAACATGGCAAACAAATTTAAATTACACCTGTGTGTGGGGTCATTCATCATCCTCCGGCGATTCGCGATCAATAAAGGTATGGTGTGGGTGCATCCTGCGCCACTCATTACACCCTTTCTCTAGAAGGCTTCCGTACGTCTGCATGTCAGCATCCTCATAATCCTCAACCAACTTTCCCTCAAACCCTTCCGGCCTAAAAAAACTCACCCAAAAGTAGGAAACTATGACCGTTCCACAAATCATTGCAAGAGTACTCCAGAAAAGCATGGGGCTTCCAAACATTGACACCGCAATGAGGACCAACGAGAAAGCAATAGGGACCCCACCACAAAATAACGCCGCAACTAGGCCTCCTGGCGCCCTGTACGGACGCTCTAAAAAGGGCTGTTTAAAACGTAGCCCCAAAAAAACAAGCAGAGTCGCAATGAGACACAAAGAATATAAGATTTGGTCAATCTCTACAAGTGTATGAAATGAAAAACACAGAGAGAGAGCGCACGTGATAATTGAGTTAACAACTATGGCATTGAATGGTGTCCCGTATCTATTGTGATATCTCGACAACCATTCAGAAACGTATGGAAAGGCGTTGAGGGTCCCCATTCCCGCTAAGGAGCGGGAGGTTGTTGCCAACAGCGTTGTCATGAGTCCCACCGTTGAAATAACGCCTCCAATAGTCACCACTACAGCTATGGCATACCCACCAACTGCCTCCCCCACCCTAACCCAAAAACCATTATCCCAATCCTCAAATGGGGTGTTTTTCAGTGCCTCAGCACTCGATCCCACCAATATGGGAGGAATATACGTGGCTAGAGCAGAGATAATCATAAGTCCAAGAGCCCGAATGAAGGTTGGGTTGGGGTTGCTCACTTCCTCAATGACATTACCCGCGCTGTCAAACCCGGAAAAATTCCACGCAACCACAGGGAGAAACACGGACCAATTAATGTTCTCTGGCACATAACCAATTCGCTCCCAATTGAAACCAAAAGGGAGCTGAAAAATAAACATGAGCAGAAAGGGTAGAAGTGTTACTGCCATCACCGCCACACTCAAGTTTCCGACGGTTTGAATACCCACCAGATTTATAAATACACATAATCCCATGAAAAACACCTTAACAAGCGATTTTTCAACAAAATTAAGTTTCAGAAGTGTCGCACAATAATCCGCAAGCACCGTCGGATATAAACTGTTGTCCACAAAGTTTAAAAAGGCCGTCCATATAACCATACAAAAAGTAAACCACGGAGGAAAAAAGACATTCACCCACATAATCGGCCCTGCATTGGATGGAATGGCACAGGACAGTTCTGCGACACACAGGGAAACGGGTATACCCCATAAAAATGGAATGATACATAGAAACACTATCGTCAAAAGAGGTCCCCCGGCGCTGACAGACTCCTCCAAGCCATACCCACCGCTGATGCTCGCCGTGTAGATAACACCCAATAACGTGAGTGTTGTCAGTGCTGTCTTGGGACGAGATTCCGAGTCACGGCGTGGGTTGCGAAACCGCACTGTCGGTGAGGACGATCTGCTAGTGGTGAAAAAAGCCATTCTCCCTTCCGGACAATCCCTCATAAACTCTTGGAAAACAACTATCCCCTTCCGCTGCGCAGCAAAACCAAGTGAATAAAAAGCTGTCAAAGTAGTAGGTTCATGCAACTTTCACCCAACAAGAGAAACAAACAAAAAAAAACCGGCAATTTTTTTTTAAAAAAAACACATGCAAATGGTAACTATAAACACACATCCACGCCATCGCGGCAGACGCGGCGGCGGAGGCAAATAATAATAAAAATAATAACAATAATGATACTACATGCAAAGAAGTTGGAGGAAGCGGTGTACTGTAAGAAAAGATGATAAAAAGATAAACGTTCCGCGATCCCCAAAATATAAACGTTTGAATACAAGTAAAGCAACTAATAATAATAATAATAATAACAGCAACTCTTCATCCACTATGTGGTAGCTCGTCAACTTATGTTTTTTTGCTGTTCTAACATCGGCACTAGAAACTCACATTTCGGTTTTGCTTTTTTTACAATGAAAGGATGACTTAGCGCGGCCTCAACACTGGGACGCTGCGCAGGATCTTTTATTAAGAGAAAAGACGCAAACTCTCGACATAGGGACGACCAACGATTTGCATTTTTCATAACGGGCGGTGGGTCCGTGCCTATTTTAAGCAGTGCTCGCATAGGATTAAGGCCCATCAACGGTGGTTCTCCGTCGCACATCTCCAAAAAGAGGATTCCCGCGCTCCACACATCGGCTTTGCTATTGTACGCCCTTCCAGCTGCGACCTCGGGAGCCATCCAGTATGGCGTACCAACGACTGTTCTACGCATCGCTCTTGAGGGCGTGAGCAAAGTGGCAAAGCCAAAGTCCCCCAACTTTACTTCACCTCGTGAGGAGAGAAGAATGTTATCGGACTTAACATCGCGGTGAACACAGCGAAAATCATGGAGACACTGAAGAGCCTGAAGCACCTCTCGCATCAACGTTGCCAGTTGCGTTTCGGTGAATTCCATTCTTTCCCCCTCCGATGGAAACAACAAATCCGTCAATTTGCCCCCGTCCATAAACTCCATGACAAGAAATAAATGCCTGCCTTTTCGGTAGCAATCATAAAGAGTCACAATATTGGGATGCTGAAGTGCCTTCAGCAGTGATATCTCCTTCACGAGGAAAGGCAGCACTTTTTTATCTCGGCCTACCGTGATGCGCTTGATTGCAACTGTTTCACCATCCAGTGTCCGCACAGCTTTAAAAACCTCTCCCTGTGAACCACCATCTAACCTTTCCCAGTCGCTAAAGAGCACCTCTGGGTCACCATCAGAAAGCAATGACTCCAGTGTCATACTCTGAGGCTCCAGGCTCGACATAGGAGCAGGATGACCTTCTCTATTTCTGTGTCCTCCCTGAGATATTATTTCTCCTGCAATGGGTCGAACATTTGTCAAAACTCCGTGCTGCAACTCAAAATGATGGAGCGTCTTGGCACAGTCCATTGCTGTCGCCCCATTTCCCCCCAGCGCAGAGGATGTTATGCCCTGATGCGGCAGCCACTTCCGGGATGTCGACGGAAAAAGATGAGGGCCAACGTCATTGCCCTCACGTGTAGCACTTGTATGAATGTGATGGTCTACTCGAACCGGCGGCCCAAATGTGATGGCGGCAGTCCGAACATGCCTTGCACTAATCTTTGCGAAAAAGGCAATCGCGCCACACAGCTCATCCACGTTCTCAAAAGAGAGATGCACTTCGTGTGGGTTCACAGGCACCAACGCTTCTTCACGACGAACAAAATGTAGACCCGGGGCAATTTCCAGGACAAACGGGTGCCCCACAGAACAGTCCTCCGTCACACAACAACGCCGAACCACCGCCTCCGGTAGATATATAATTTCTATGGGATGGCACGAGTCCTTCTTCTGAGCAAAGCGCAGAAGATAGTTGCCGCTCGTCAAAAACCAATTAAATTCCCACACAAAAACGTTGGTAACGCGAAGTCTGCGCGACATCCACCCCGAGTACTCCGGTTCATTGTACGCCTGGACCTGAGAGAGAGTAAAGTTGTTCCTGACAAGTTCCTGACAGATAGCCCTGTCAGGACGATTCAATAGTGTCATAACGTTCCCAACTATGCCTTAGCCTCGGAAATTGTACGAATAGTGGCGCTCATCCACTGCCACATGAGTGGTCTGTGGTCCCAGATGATACCAACAAGGGGAACAAATACAAATAATAATAATAATAATAATCCCCGACTACGGACACAGGCACACAAGAACAACAAAAAAAAATATAATAAGATGTCACAAATAGCACGCATCCACAAAACATGTACGCCCCCTGCAATAAACATGAGCACATCGATATTAAAAGGCATGTTTTGAAGGTTATGTGAAAATCAGGCAGCATTGTGGAGGCCAAGAAGGAAGTAAACAATACGCAGGTACCAAAAAAAAAAAAAAGGAACACACACACACACACATCAATACGTATAAAAAGGAAGGCATGTACACAGTAATGACAATGTAAATATATATTATAATACTCTTTCTACTTCATTCCAATTTCATACCAGTACATAAACAACTCACAAAAAACCTCCCCCACAAAAAGAAGAAACACGTAAAGACCTAAAACAAAAAACAAAAGCAGATTCCACTGTTATCACTACTTCCCTCGTAGTCGAGCAAACTGCTCCTCCAGATTGTCTGTTTCATCGTCGGCATGCTCCACAGGAGCTAGCGCCATGGGGTTCGTTTTGCTAATTCTAATCTTATCATCCAAGTGCTGTTTGATGTCTAGGCCGTGTTCATCTGCCACCTGCGCCATCAGCGTGTTTACCTCATCCTCTGGCATACTTGTGGCCGTTGTTTGCCCGATTGCGTTCTCCATATATTCCGAGGTAACATCCATTGTCTCAAACTGTTTCTCAAACTTGTCCATGAGGTTTGAGATGGCCTCTGGATTCATTGCGTTGAGCACCTTGTCCATGCCCTTCACCATTTGTCCCATGCCCTTCGTCACCATCTTCATCTTTATGGCAGTATCCAACCGTGACACAACAGCATCCATGCGAGCCGCGAGACGAAGATGGTTAATGGATTCGTTCTTCTTCCGTATGCTGTTCTGTGCAAAGATACGGGCCCCATCCATGTTCCCCTTTTCCATTGCCTGCTTGCACTTGCGCATCTCCTGTTTTTGCTCCTTTTCACATCGCGTAGAGTTCTTTGCAAACTGTTTTGTGACAAACTTCAATTGAAACTGAAGATCCTGCAACTGATTAATTGACATCGTAATCCACCGCCACTTGTGCTGCTTCTACACAGAATAAAACAAAATCAAAAAGCGAGAGGGGGGAAAAAGAAGCAACAGTAGTAATAGTAGCAATAATGGCAGCCGTAATAAGGGAGTGAGGATAGACGAACCGCGCTTACACTATCACCATTATCAAAAACAAAGCACAACCCTTCAGTTACAAAGCAAGAATCATCAACGACAACAGCAAGACGCACCTAACGCCACGGCCCTCTCAACCACTCATTCTGAATCCGCATTCATGAGTCTCTCCATCTCCGTTTTCAACGTCTCGTTCTCCAGTGCCGCCGCCACCCGTTCCTTATCCAAAATCTGCTTCTCCAGTTCACGCTGCTGCAGATGTGAACCATCAACTAATCGAATGTCAATTTTCCAGTCACACTCCGGCGTCGGGAGGGTTTCCTTTAACCTGGCGTAAACACAAAGGCAAATAATTGCCATTCGACTGCAATGAACCACGGTTGGTTTCAACACAACTGTCACCACAGCAATTCGCTTTGAAGCACGAGCACCACTCACACTTTCTCCTTCGTCTCTAACAAAGGAGTTGCCGTAATATTTGCCGTACTCAACGCTGCAGCGGTCAGGTGCCACAACCCCCAGGTCCGCCAGCGTGCAACTCCTCTTCTCTGGATCTCGAATTGTGGAGATCTCGTAGAACACGTCTTCCGCCGCGTAAACTCCGTCCATTATCCCTTGGACGTTACACCATTAAACACTCTCTCACGGGAAGAACAACAGAGATGAACCAGGGCAGTTTTCTAAACCCCAAACACGAGGCAACACCACACCACATGAAATCGGGCAAGAATAAAACGTATACTCCACCAGAAGCAACACCAACAAACAATAATAAAACATAAAATACCTTCCTGTACATAAAAAAAAAAAAAAACAGAACCTAGCATATGTTTCTTTTTTATTTCTTTCTTTTCATCTTCTTCTCTGCAGGCACCCTACGTACAAGAGAAGCAGGCAAAAGGCTTTACTGCAGTTTCCGCTCCTCTGCGTCGTCATTCTCCAAAGGTATTTCAAACCACTCGCACCACTCCTCTATTTCCTGCACTACTGGATGTCGTTCACCATGAAAATGTTGCGTTGTCACCCGTGCTGTTCGTAGATGCCGCCCTGCCTTTTTCTTTTCACTCACCCAAAGAAGAAATAAGCCAAGCACAAACTGTGCTCGTGCTGTCGTCGGGTGTAAAGTGGTAAAACGTTCTCTCTGTATTTTGTAAATGGCATGCAACATCTTAGAAACATCGGCCAAGTTTTCCTTTCCAAAGGCCTTCGCAGAGGCGTACCCCGTGTCTTGCACTACCTCATCGTCCTCGTACCGTTTAACAGCCTTTGCTGCTAGTGCCTCCTCCACGATGTCCTGGAGGACACGCCGCAAGTATTTAAACCAAATGTTCTTCACCGTGTCATAGAGTGCCATGGCCCCTTCCATACTGGCTTTTGTCACAAACACATTGGCCAGATCAAAATACCCAAAAGACGTCAAGACGTCCACCGGCCCATTCAGCACACTAAGATAGTATGTGGCAGCTGTCAGATGCTGTATGGCGGCTTCAATTTTATTATCAGCAGCGTACAAGAGTCCAAACGTCTGATGAAGTTCTGCTTTCGTCGCTGTGCCAACCTCTTCTGGGTGGTTAAGAATAATAAAATGGGCAAGTGACAACATTTCTTCCGCATTTCCGTAGCGTCCTAAAAACTGATTGGTACGTGCCAGGTGAAAGTAGGCTGGTACAAGCTTTACACTCTTTTTCCCGTAAAACCTTTCCTTTAGACGCAACGTTTTGACACCTGCCTCAACTGCCGCCTCACCATTTCCCTCTACCAACAGTCTGCGACTCTCATCTTGGGCTTGATCCAGCAGCTGAGAAATGACATTAGCTACACGATCACCATGTGCAGAACGCGCCGCCAATGCATTAATGCCGTTTGAAGGGGCGTCCATTAAGCATATTAGTTCATCGAACCTGCTTTCGAGGCTCGCCCACCCTGCGCCTGAGACGTCAAAGGGATCACTCTCTACGCCCACAGCTCCCTGCGACGCACTGGAGCAGCCTTTTACAATGGATCCAGCTTTATTTTTCATGAAAGACGCAGTGTTAAAATCTCTACGTGGAAAAAAAAAGAAAACAATCAATACACTAAATAAAAAAAAAGTTGGGGAAACACAGAGGTCAACCAAAAGCATTCTCTCAACGAAGGCGCACCGCCAAGAAAGACGGCACCAACAAAGTGACTCCTGCCATGGAATTGAGTGTCCCTACATTCCAAACTCTTCACTGGCCATATTCCACCTGAATCACCACCCTCTTGAGTGGTCATATATATATATATCCTCGGAAGCCCGTCAAAACAAATGATTGCTGTATAAACGGTATTAGCTGTATTTATACCAAACTGAAAAACTTGTCCTGTATATTCGCACAGAAATATATACATATATATATGCCCTCTCACTGCTGCTCCTAACGCCTCTCGGTCATCCAAGTCCATTTAGAGAGAATCAAACCAAGCATTCGCCATCCAGTTTCGTGTGCTCCAAGTCAGACACATACTGAACCTTAAAGAAATTCCTCGTTTCTGTTTCGTTGAAGATGACAAAACGCCACCTACCGCCCTCTCTTCCTCCTGTAACTTCCAGCTCAAAAAAGATCATCAATCCACCGCTGTCGCCCAACGAAAGAGATGGAGTACTTGAGCGTGTTGTTGGGGCAATGCGGCTCATATTCCCAGAGGAACTATATGAATAGATAGTTTTTCATATGAGCGTGGTACATAGCATCATCGGAGAAAGTCAATAGCCTGCAAAAGGATACTCGCCCGGAAATGCTTGGGGGCAACCAAGCCATACTAAGATAGAGTGTTACCCATGCCGATATGCCACAAAAGCAAAACTTTATTAATCGTCATTACACTGAGAGGCGGTAAAGCAAGAAAAAAAAATAATGACAACCAAAAAAAAGGGACTCATGCAGGAACTAGCAATGTAGATTATATATATATATATATATATATATAATATTACCGATTACGACAGAGTTTACTTCAGCAGCGTTACGCCAAGTTACATTTATCACCCTTAGTTTTTAAAAAGTTAATTGCGGGTTCCCTACAGCTAGACTTTAATACTCATTTAGTTATGATCACAGGGAAATTGCTCTTTTATTTTATCTAATCGCTGTCCTCAAACTTGGTACTTGCACGGTTGTTGTCGAGGTTTGGGGTAGGACGTCCGAAGCCACGGCCACCACGGTCACCAAAGCCACGGCCACCACGGTCTACCC